ACTAAGTGCCTGAACAGGTCCAGGAGGGGTTAAAGAATACACCACCAATATAAAAACTCCCAATCTATTGTGTAATTTACACAACCTTGTAGTTGAATCTGGGTTATTGTGAAATTTTAATCGAGTAACTTCAGGAATGTGATATGATGATGGGGAAATATTATAAAGAAGTTCTACAGACTACTAAATTTGCTTTACCTTTTGTTCCATAATCCTATTGTAATTTCCAATGAGAGGAAATTTCCAAATTGTATGGCTTAAAGTGTTACTTTTTATTGTGCACAGAGAAAGTTTTATGAAGATATATGTTTGGGTGATGGGGTGGTTTTTAAAATACAACATGAGACTATTTCAAATATAAAATAAAAGGGGGAAGCAACTGAGATATTAATGACCACAGAGGGAAATAATGTTGGAACTAGGGGTAGAATGTAATTTACTAAAGATACAATGATCAGATAGTTATTTTTTAAAAATATTTTTTTATTGATTGCAGAGAGGAAGGGAGAGGGAGAGAGAGATAGTAATATCAATGATGAGAGAGAATCACTGATGGGCTGCCTCCCACACACTCCCCAGTGGGGATGGAGCCCACAACCCAGGCATGTGCCCTGACCTGGAATCGAACCTCGACCTCCTGATTTATAGGTCTATGATCAACCACCAAGCCACACCGGCTTGGCCAGATCGTTATTTTGGATAACCCTCAATATCATGTAAGTCATATCATATTTTGTAATCAGAGCTGAGCAAACACTGTTTACTGATTAATTTGTGTATTTAGTCACTGAGACTTTAAGGACAAAATGAAAATCTAGGTCTTTATGCTATCACGATACATGGCCATGAAAACTATCCATCTAAGCAGGTTTTTAAAAAAATGTGTCTCTGTAAGGCAGAGAAGCATCGAACAGACTGTCAAATTACAGCGGGAAGGTTGAGGAGTTTTGGGGTGGGGGTGGTAAGAGATCAACTGAAGGACTTTATGCATGCATGTTAGCATAACCAATGGACACAAGACACTGGGGCGTGGGGTGGAGGGGGGCGTGGGTAAGGGCATGTGCCAGGGGATAGGGGAGGCCAGGGGAAGGTCAATGGGGGAAAAGGTGGGGGGCGGGGATGTGTCTCTGTAAAAGGACATGGGGAGGGAGGGAATCACTGAATTTTCAAACACTCATTTCAATCACTGCTTGTTGCAGGGCCTGATGGGGTGGGGCCTGAGCCCAAAGAATCCCAGTCTAAGAGAATTCCCAGTCCAGGTCAAGTTATACTTTAGGAGATCTCTCTTTACTTTGCTCTTAACTAATTAGGGGAACTCTGATTAACATATACAATAAAGCATTTGTACTAGGAAACAAAAAGAGGAAGAGGCCTTACCAATTCATGACTTCTTAATTAGGGTCAGGACAGTATCTGGGGATTTCCTGTACCCTAAATTTGCTGAATGATTACATAGGTCTGGGGAAAAGGAATTTGCTCAGAGTGATTCATCCAACTTTTTTTAGTGTTGGGGTTCTGCCTTGCAATTTCCTCTTCTGGCATTGTGTGTTGGCTAATGGAGGGGGTAAGTTTCTGATAGGTTTACTCCTACTTGGATTCAAAAGCCTTGGGTTAGGCCTTGGCCTGTTGGTCCATGTGGGGTTTAAGCCTTCCTCTCTCAAATGAGTGGGTCGCTGACCAGGTATGAAGGGACTTTCCTTGAGACTTATGACAACAGCTTACCGTGGGATGGATATTTGAAGGTAGCTTTCTGTTCTGTTTTGCCATCTTGGGTTGGCTCTGAAAAGCTTTCTTACCTCTGAGAGGAAGAAAATGTTGATAGGGTTGATTAATTACTATGCAGGATGCAGTGACGATAATTGGGCAACCTGAATCAGACGTTCAGATAGAAAGACAGGTGGACTGTGATGACACAGGTTTCAATACTAGGTCCGTAGGCAAAGCTTTGCAAAGGGCCTCGCCCCAGAAACGCCTGCATTGGGGTCTTTGCTGAAAGTTTGTCCCCCATCCCCAGCACTCCAAGTCCAGATGAAATGCCTTAATTCCTGGGAAAAAGGCTCTCTCTCTCTCTCTCAGAGATAGATATAGATATATCTTGACTTTTAAAAAATGATTTGTAACTATCTTTGTGGATAAAATATTAAAATAAAAAAAACTTTGCCCAGGTGGCTTCTGGCATCAATATTCTACACCAGATTAAAATCATTTCCCAACATGCATACCCTGCACTCCAATTGGTGTATTAATAGCTTGATTAAAAATTTCTCAGAAGTCTATTAGACTCAGGAAACGGTCTGCGGTGTAGGTGAGGATTTGCAGTTTTTGCAATGGAAACTTTTGGCCCTATGAACAGAATAGCAAAAACTCAATTAAATGTGCTCTTCCCCATCCTTGCCTAGTCCAACGGTAAAAGATGAAAAAAACGGCTTGGAAGAGTGGTGTTTAGGTAAACCCCCACCCCTTTTTTTCCCCTCTAAAACAGCCAGGTGGATTCATATGATCCCATTTTTTTAATGGTCTTCTATCTCCCACTCAGAACAAACCAGGTCGCCCCAGCACAATCAGAAGTATCTTTGTTGTTGTTGTTATTGTGTGTGTGCGCGCGCGCGTGTGCGTGTTTTAATGTCCAGCCTCTAAGGACGTTGGGCTGGATGGGGCAGGGGAAGAGCAAGGGATGGTGCAAAGGTACTTTAATGAAAAGCAACCAATAACTTGAGGTTTTTAGAATGTGGTCTGCCATTTCCTAATGAAGAAACGAGTTGGACAGTCCTTTGGCCGATTCATTTAGACAATGCTATGAACCCAAAGGTCTGGTGACTGTCCAAGCGACGAAACTCCATTCGGGACCCCGAGCCACCGCCCCAGCCACGCCAGCTCTGGAGTCCCTTCCCTCCGGCCGCAGGCACCTCGGGCTGCCTGGGTCTGTCTGTAGCGCTCAGCTCGGTGTTGCACCGGCTGCCTCAGGCTCGCCGCCACCAGGCGCGGACACCTCCCAACCTCCCTCCCTCTCTCTCTCCCGTCCTCCCTCCCAGCCGGCGGGACCTATTCCGGGCTGGGGAACAGCAGCCCGGGCAGCAGCGGCAGGAAGCAAAGCCCTTGTTGATGCTGTTCCACGGCGCGCCTCCCCACCCTCCACTGGGCCGCCGCGGCTCTTCCTGTCTTTGGCGCGCCCCCCCCTCCGCGCCTGCGCAGTGCCCCGCGGGGGG